GTTGTTGGAATTCGTAGTTTTTGTATAAAATAATAGACCATCTATTAGTTCGTAATGGGGCCGCCCTATTTCTTATCGCCACAATATCTTGGTGGCTAAAATTTTCAGGATCCTTCAAATACTCATAAATACTTCCAAACTCAGGATCCTTACCCAGTTCGGTTATTACAGTTTCTCGGGAATTTATTGTACACGCTGTAAGCATTGCAACTTTTACGGTATTACCCTGTTCGTCTAATTTAATTCGTGGATAGGGCATCTGCTACGATATTTTCCTTTCCGGGGTATGCTTGATTACCAGATTATATTCTTGTAACTTGAGTGCCCATCTTATTAACCTTGGGGATAAATTTTTTCCCTGAGTATATGCATTGATGAATCTAGTTACCGCCGCATGATCAGAATATACTGTTACTCGGCGCCTTTCCAAAATAGACTCAGAACTTTTGCACTGCTAACAGAACTGCAAGTGCCTCTCTCTCGGTCGCGGAATAAGTTTCTTTAAAATGTTCTTTTTGAGTTTGATTTAAAGTTCGGCTAAAAAATGCCACGGGCTGCTGATTTTGCGAAAGTACCGCTCCTACCGCATAATCCGAAGCATCCGCTGAAATTTCTAAATTTCATCCTTTTCAGGAAATTTCAACACAGGTGCTTGCGTTAATGCTTGTTTTAATTTTTCGAAAGCACTATTGGCTTCGGCCGTCCACGAGAATCTTGCCTTTTTCCTTTTTAATTTTAACAATGGCTCAGCGATAGCCGCAAAATCTTTTATAAAGGACCTATAATATGAACAAAGTCCTAGAAAAGAAGAGAGCTTCTTTGCCGTGTTGGAGTCGGATACTTTTGTACAGCGATTATTTTTGATTCATCTGTCTCGATCCCTTTTTGCGATATTTTGTAACCTAAATATTTTAATTCAGGGGCTGCAAATTTGCACTTTTCGACATTAACTTTTAGACCGGCCTCATTTAATAAAGAAAACACCTGTCTTAAATCCTGTATATGTTGGTCAAGATTATCACTAGTAATAATGATATCGTCTAAATAGATAAATGTGGACTTTCCAAGAACAGGTCTTAACACAATGTCCATGCATCGCTGAAATGTTGCTGGGGCCCCAGAAAGGCCAAACGGCATACGCAAAAATGCATAAGTGCCAGACTTGGTTATAAAAGCAGTCTTAGGCACGTCCTCAGGCCTGACCCCTATTTGAAAATAACCATTCGTTAAGTCTAAAGTCGTCATAAATTTTGGTTGATTTTATGTTCCTTAAAATTTCTTCTATGATCGGTAACGGATATACCGGATATTTCGTTATGGAATTTAATTTACGGTAATCAATAGCGAATCTCCACCTTTTTGGATGCTCCAAAGGATAATCATTATTTTTTCTTACATAAAACCACCGGGCTAGCATAACTACTTGAGATGGGCGTTATGATCTTTTTACGTAGCATATCGGTAATATGCCATTCTATAATTTTTTTCCTTATTCTTATCATACCGGTATGGTTTTTGACGAACCGGCAATGCATCTCCGGTGTCAATACTATGGTTAGTAACCTGAGTAAATCCTGGAATATCACTAAATAAGGAAGCAAATTCACTTACCACTTGTCGGATTCTATCTTGCTCGTCATTAGGCAGGTGGTCAAGATTTAACCTTGGCGGTTCAACCTTTTTTCCTTTTCTACACGCACTGGTTTCATTGTCAGCCTAAGGGACGCTTCATTAAAATCCAGTGTAGCTTGTGCGTCTGAAAGAAAGTCTATTCCTAGGCTTAAATGTGCTTGCAAATTCTTTACTATAAAAAACATCACCTTTACTTGTTCGTCCTTGATACGGATATATAAAGGTACTTTACCTACGCACTTACATTTTTTTTTCTCCTTGCGCCGCTAATACTGTCGTATTATCCGCATTATATATGCGGTATTTGCGAAAATACTTTCTAAAAAAAAGACTTCTGCCACACAGGAACACTGCGCGCCGGTATCCAGGAGTGCGGTGGCCGGGATATTATTTACCAACACTTCAATCTTCGGAAGAGTCAAATTTTTCACCATTACTGTATTTAACTTGAAGGAAGAGGGGTTTTCGTGGCCTTCGGATTTCCGCACCCTCTCGTCAGCAGAAATCCGTTTTAGTTTAAATTATTTTTCCTTTCCGTGCTTTCCTTCTTTCTCCACTGGCCTTGAGACTTTTTTCCTGGGTTGCTATTGAACTGTCGACGTTCGCCGGCTGTTTTTGAATGCTCGGGTTTCCTTGCCCACTGATTCGCTTTTTCTCCGTAGCCGTATGCTTGAGTTTGTTGTAGTCTTGGCGTACCAAATTGGTTTCGCTGTTGATATTGGCGTCTTCTTTCGACGTCCGCCGTTCTTCTACTTTCAAACTGGATTGCTAGCTCAAATAACTTTTCCAGTGTAGTGGGATTTCTTAATTCAATAAAGTCTTGCACTTGGGGTAGTAACCTCGGCAAAATCACTTGAATTATTTCAGGATCCGGACGGTTTCCATATAAGAGCTTGAAAACGTGAATTTTTCTTAAAATAAAGCTCGACAGGTTTTCGATTCTTTGTTGATATATGCTAAAAAGTTCCGTTTCTAATTTCGCACGATCCCTTACAACAGGGAAGGCTTTTAGTAGGGCAGTCTTGAAATTTTCATAAGTATAGGTGGGACTTCCTGCTTGACCCAAGAGACTTCTGCCGATACATTTGAACGAGTATCGGCAGATTAAGCGCTTGGCCCCTCAAAGCGCTGGTAGCTAAGGTAACTTTTTGAAACTCGTGCACGGGGTAGAGCATGAAGTGGTCATCCAATTTTTCCAAAAAACTGGTTACCGGTGAGTTTCCATTAAACGTTGCTTCTGGTTTCATCGAAGCGCGCATGGTCTGGACGATGTACCCAAATTCTTCCAGGGCGGCAGCTGGCATTTCTGGATTCTGAGCCGTTTCTGCAGGCAGCACAGGTTCTTCTTGAAATTCGGCCATGGTTATTCTTCGTCGGGCGCCACTATCAGGTTCAATGTTTCTTCTAACCTTCTTCGGAAACATACAATGACCTGACTAGGAACAGAGAGCTTACTAAAGCTGTGTTCACTAATTGTAGTAAGTAGACAGGATACAGACGAAGGGTATACAAAACCTTTATTTTTCTTTATATACAATGACTTCCGTACTTCGGAATACAATGACCCTCCACTCGGGGTCTAACGTAAAAGGTATAAAAAATAAAACTAAACTCTAATTTAACTTTAGAATAACACACGTAGAAGATTGGCCTTATAATAACAGGAAGCGTATGTAGCACAGAGACTGTGAACACTACAATACGTTTAATTTATTAAGAGGATTAAAACCTCTGGCCTGGAAGGCAAATAGCAACTGCGTAACTTCTAAGGTAAGCGGCCTGCTTCGAACTCACTGCTTCCTCTCTTTCGCTTGGCAAAAAGGCCACACTTAAATACTTGGCGTTCGCCAGACAAACTTTGCATAAAAACCTTCACGCTTATAATTCTGGCCGGAAGTAGAAAATAAGAAGTGATAGTAAAGATTTAAAATAAAATAAACGTTAGTAAAACTTAAGATCCTTACAAGTTAACTAACTGAAAGTGTAGCGCTAATAATAAAACGTTATCGGATATATTTTTGCAGGTTACGTAATTATGTTTGTGCTTAGAATTTTTAAGAATCTAAAGGCTAGAAAACCATTGAAGGAATGTTAGCTTTTCTTTGTTTTAGGTTTCTCGAATATCAAATATGACGTTTAATTACATTCAGTTATTTAGCGGAGGAGGTATAAAAACAATCTTCAAATTCATTACCATCAAAGCACCTTGCCCGAGCTTTAATTTTATTTTTGTGACTAACATAATCATATATTGAAATAAATGGAAAATCTTTTAATTTTCTTAACTAAAACTTGAATAAATTAAATAGAAATTACTACAGTTTTAAAACGAAAGGCTTAAAAAAAGTATAATAACTAAAGGAATAAAAACATATGCCATAAAGCGATTATATAACAATAAACCGCATTACAATGAGTAATGAATAATAACATCGAATAACTGCATTTTATGGCAAATTTCATACTTTAGAGACTGAAGTGCATATTACTGAGAACAAAATTCATTCGAGCCAATTTCTGCGTATTCATGAAAAGCAAAAAATGTTCACTATCTGAGTCAATGATTCAATCAATGCTAGTAATCGGGAAATATTTCTACATATTATTCAAATAAGTCATTTCTGATTTTAAGATTTTCTAACTTCGTCAATTCCCCATGTAAATAAATGTTTTGCGTGTAAGGTGCTGACACTCTTTATACACAATATAATAAAAAAACTTATCGAGACTAATTACTACGAAAAATATATACTCATAATTTCAGAAAACAATATTCAAAATAACAAATAACAATAACGAAAGTCAAAAATATGTATGTGTTTATATTGTTAAATACAATTAAGTTTTAGGATCACTGGGGTATTTGAAGGGTTATTTTTTACTTCAGCTTTTCAGGGTTTTTTTCCAGCTTTGCAGAGTTTTTTTTTCTATCAGGTCTTTCTTTACAGAATTTCTCATTAAGTCCAGTATCATAGGGACAGTTTGCCAACATTCAGGACCCTCAACTGGAGCACGTTGGGGCTCTTGAATGGCTCTGATAGCCAGGCCCCACTTGATATGAAAAGTCTTGATTTATGTTTCGAATTTATTCTTCTCTATCTACCATTTGGGAACAAAGCTTTAATACGCGTAGCATCACATTAAGGATACTATCGCTAGACAAGGTGAATAGGGTCAGTGTGAAGAGACTTCAAGAATATTTTCTATTATGCTGAACTTAAGGCTTTGCAGTCTTTTATAGCTTGTGATTTCATATATATGGTATACAATAACAGGCAAAATTTCTAGTGCATATAAGCTGGAATTATGGATAATTGGAATAACAAAGCAAATGCAGTTTGAAATAGAAAAGTGAAAAATTATCTTACTTGAGATTTATAGATCTTAAATCTGCAGCTGGACTTGGAAGCATTGAACGTTTCAATGAAGTTAATCTGTTAGATTCCAAAACCAAAAATGTAAGGTGCTTAACTTTAGAAAGTACTTCATCTCCCATAGAAACTAAATTATTTCCTTCCAAAGTCACAGTCCTTAAAGAATCAGGCACGCTAGTTAGCCAGTCATCAGCAAGAGTGGTAATTTTATTTCTTTCTACAATCAGTTCTCTGAGTTTAGTCAAATGACTTAATGACCAAGAACCAACTGGATTTGTTTGGTTAAAAATCGCTCGCAATTGAATACTAGAAAGATGATTTTCCATGCCTTTAAACTGGGGTGCAGTGAGAGTTATTGTCGAATTTTCAAACAGTATTCTTTCAACTGCAATGTCACTAAAAGCGTCGGATTTCACCGGATCTAGAATCCAATTCATGAAAAAGGACATTCTGTAAATTCTATGGCCTTTTAATCCTCTGACGCCTTGAGATATTTGTTCTGGTTGGCTTAAGTGGTTACAGAATACCATTGGGTCATCATCTTCTTCTTCACAATAGCATGGGAATATGTCTTCCGGTTCTGGGCATTCATACAAGAGGGAAGCTTCTACTGATATCAAAGTTGAAATAATGAAAATGAACAGAAATATAATAAGGGACGTAGGCCCAGATCTTCCGTAGAATACCTGTAAAAATATTTTTTTAAATTTGTTATAAACATTTAAATTTATCATTATTAAAATGTACTTCAATAAACTGGGTAGTTAAATAATGGCACATTAATAAATTCATTTTCGTTTTATATTTATACAACAGCATCTTGATCTTTTGATGATATCATACGAAATAGAAAACAGCATAAACATTGCTGTGGTGTCATTAAATTACTCAAATGGCAAGTTTCCAAGATTTTACGGAATCCTTGATTATTTGAAACGCATTTTAAGACGAATATCAAATGAGCAAGTGAAGGTGTTTTAATAAACTGATTTGATTATGATTTAACACACATATTCATTAGACTTCTCAGTTTGAATGAGGACGTGATTTATAGTCTCGCCGTAAAACTAATTTAGTGCAATAGGAATGAAACAAAACAAAGAAGATAGTTGCTGTAATTCCATTAGTCCATTCGTTAGAGATATCGATTTTCCTAACTGCTTTCATGCGAAGAGTCTATTACTTTGAACTGAATGCAGTTACCAGTCTTTACGACAATTTCTGTAAATGAATTTTAAAACCACTTGCAGTCAAATAAATATTTACTACAGTTGCAAATAAAGACTTTCTCCTGTTAAGACATGGTTCATCATCTGAAATCTAAAGAACTGTGTGGCTTCACTGCATGCTGAAATCTGAAGAACTGAATGGTCACGCAGCATGCAAATGTTCACGCAGCATCTTGTAAATCTTAGAAAATCTAGGGAAATTTGGATGGAATACCCTATTCAGAATAAGTCGTAACGAAGTGAATTACTTCTGAGTACAGTGTTGCATTTTAACATTGTTACAAGAGACGAAACTCAGTGCAGTTATACTTAAGCGATGGCTGGTCAATAATCGTTATTTCTATCTGCCTAGATAAAATGGATTTAATATTGCTTTAGTGATGCTTTTTACCGTTAAAAATAGTTTTTTAACTTTTAAAAGTACTTTTCAAGAGATAAAATGATTAAATAATCAATCGGTATAGTCTCTCAAGACTTCCATACTTACTAAAAGTAAATTCAGATTTTGTTTTCATGCACGGCAAGTATTAGATTACAGAATGAAGTTAGATTACAGACTGCTTTAGAGCAAAAGCTCTTATCGAATTCATAAACTGGAACTTACTTACGTATTCCATACTGAATTATAAAGCAGGTTATATCTCATATGCATTAAACTCTAATGACTGTACCAAAAACAATACATGGAATGACTAAAAAATGTGGCTACAAAGTTTGACGTAATTGTAGTATGTTACTGTACACTGTAGAGGAACCGTCGACTAGGATATTAAACTTTTAATACCCTTATAGGTAAGATTGCCGTACCTGGGCTGATATCATTAGCCGAGATGGAGTTGAAGATGGCAGTAGCATATTAAGATTGCAACGTGGACGATTACATACCAGAATTGATCGTTTATAAGACTATGAGACTAAAAAGCCGTGCTTTTAAAGTAGCATTATTGCAGTCTATTGTAGTACGACAGCTAATAGCAGACAATATCTAGAAACGTAAACCATCTGGAAGAAACTGCAATACTGCAAATACAGTAACATCAGTAAGTAGTGTGGAAGAGCTTATTAACAGCCCACATACAAAACCAATAAAGTGTGTCTGGTGATATTGCTATATATTCTTCTTCTGTTTAAAAAACTTATTTTCTAGTGGCACAAATTATTGGACATTTCAAAGTATGGTTTATCACACCAGTTGTTTTTTTAATCCCGTTACCAGATATTTGCTAACTAATCACTCGTTGTCTGGAATGGCCGAACTCATGGATCATTTAACCGTCTCATCATGCTCAACATCGTACTCTCAGTATTGCGCAGCGTGCTATACTGATGGCGACCGATTTTATACACAACAAGAAAGAGAACGTAGAGTTATTATAGCCCTACCTTCCTCACAGTTCGAATCCAGGACCAATGCTAATGGATCCGGCTTCCATAACTACCATCCCAAACAAGGTGGCACAGCTGTTAAGTGCAAAATATCCAAATGTCCTTAAAAGTGAGTCTAATATTTAAAAATACTCATTGTGCACAATTATTTTCGAAGGATCACGTAGAAGATGTGATTAATATAATAAACAAAACCACAGAATAAACATTAAGCATGAAATATTAATATTACTGAAAGCAGTTAATATTTGGGTGTAACTTTAAAAAAGCAGTAATTTAATATGAATACTGGAAGCAAAACAAAGTAACGGAAGAGTTACTGCTCTTTAATTTACAGAAATAATTTAATTTCTAGGACTAATTCTATTACAGAATTCCATTACAGAAATAATTTAATTTCTAGGACCAAATCTGTTGCCGCACTAAGCGTTACTCTTTTACTTTGTAATATGGTCTTTTTATTGAATCGTTATTTAGGTACAATAATTCTAGAATAAATATTTATGTTTGCTTTTATTTGCTCTCAAATAAGCAACAGTATCTCTTTAGAGCAGATTAAATTTTATTAAGAAATGTTAAGTAAGATAAATGAAACAGTTTACCATAACTTCGCAAAGATTGTCGCTCAGATACCTTTGTGCTTCCCTCAAATATTTCTAAACGACTAGAAACGACTTAAAAATATCTAGCTTTTATCTTCGGTCATAAACTTGAACAGATGTTGTTCTTCACGTATGAGTTTTGATTAGATATATTTAACTGGTTTACAGTTTCTTAAACGATTTCACATAATTTAAATATTGTTGCGTGCGTACGGGTTCGTAATGGATTGAATGCAAGCAGAACCGATGATAGCTTGATAAATTTATTTTCCTAAAAGAAATACTTTACAATTCTAGAACTTTCATTAAATTATCCACACAGCTGTTTTGCGTATGACAGAGCACAATCAGTAGTTACCATTTTAAACTAGTGAGAACGTAAAACACAAAGCAATTCAAGGCGCATGTAACGAGCGAAGCTCACACTGCTTAACTAGCTAACTCTGAGCTAAAAACTGAGAACTGATGCTCTTTCCGTGCTTATATAGTTGTTTTCCTCCGGCCACCGAGAAATCTCTAGTAACTTCCATTTCTCGAAATTACTGGAAGACATATACGGTTAAAGATACATACTAGAGCCAGATGCGGTTACAGTTACATATAGGGATCAATTACAGATATTCAGTTACAGTACCAATTACAGTTATACACGGACCGAACCGAAATGTCGCCAAATGGTCCCCACGCTTCGCGACTTTCGGCGATATATTGGCTCGGTTCTTGTATAACTGTAATTAATTTGACATTGCAAGTTAGCCGCCAAAACCATCCCCAACTTAGTGATGTCTCACCAAGTCTTTTAATTCAATGTTAAATAAACGTGCCCCTGTAATCTTATTTTTCAGGCAAAGCTTCGTCTCTTGAGGAACTTCATGTTACATTATACGAAGGATAATATAATTTTACGTATAAATTTGGATAAAATTATTTACACATGAACAAAATTTGTAATAATATTAATATAATATTTTCGGTATTATTATAAATGTATACAGAAAATTATTCTTTGAAACGATGAGAATTTTCGAATTTCTTCTCCAGATTTGAACTTACCCGATCAGTTGCTTTGTCAGACTTCCTTAATCGAAAATTGGTTAAAAATCTCGAAATGATATTTTTGAAGTACTAAATTAGTTTTTGAAATGAATCTGCCAAGCTTTACTTCCTTCTCAAATCAGTATCATCAACAGAAGTCTCGTTACACCAACTGACGATCGAACAGCAGTTAACAACTCAACAAATTTATAATCAGTTCTTAACTAATGTTTTCCTGAAACTGCAAATTACGTTGAATGTGTGTATAGATATGTGTTGAGGGATACATGAATTGAAAAGTATGAAACTTATATCCTATTGTAATATAAATAGTAATGGAAACAAACGTCTCAAAATTTCATTTTGTTTTATTTAGTTTATTTATTTGTATTTTAATCAAACTTTTCAAAATGAATCATATGAAAATCAGCTTGTTCAAAATAAAACCAAATCAAATATTAACAGAGCAAAGCATACGCAAATGCAGATTTGTTACGATTAGCGAAAAATAATTTTGGTAGCTACATGAAATAGAGCTTGTATTTGGCAATGCTTCTTTATGTTAATTAAAAAAAGAGTGTCAAAGCAAAAAATCCAAAGCTTGAAAAAACATGGTTCATAAAGTTCTTATGCCTACCAGTACTAAATGCCTGGCGAATGGATTTAATAAAACTAAGGAAAATGAAGTAATATAGCACAATAATTGAAATTTTGAAAAATAATGGAATAATAACAAAAAATAATCGAAATAATATTTTATTAACACATTTTAGAGATTTTTCTACACATACAGATAAGTTCTACAAATATTCCCTGCTGCAATATATCTAGTACAAATATTCACTTTGTATTAGTACAACTTATGTGAAGAAAGCTATTATTTCCGTGAAAGTTTAAAAAATGTAAACATTAAAATGAAAATATTTTAGACTTTTATTTTCTGTGACTCAGATGACAAAATTATTATTTTATAATGTTTAGTTCTTTGGAGAAATACTAAATGAATGATATTTTGAACATTTATATTAATGACAGAAAAGACTAATATAAATATTTACCTAACAGCAAATGATTATTTAAAATGAATTCTGTTCAAAATGTTGTTCTCAAGAGTATTTTCTTTAACACAGATGGTTGGTTGGTTATTAAGTATTGTAAAGCGCTCGGGGGCTATTAGACTATAGGAAAACATCCTTTAGTGGAAGCCTTATCTTCCTTTAGCCTTATCTTCGGCTTTCCCTTTGGAACACAAACACGAGAAGTGGGAAGCTGGTTCGTATTTGCCTTCCATTTAAAGGAAAGCAATGAATGGTATTTGAAGAACGTTGTTAAGCCTCTGAGATCCAAGCCGATCACGAAATGCTAGTGTTTCGCGTCTCATTGTTGGGTCTGCTTCTGTGATAAAGGTACTACTATATTTTTATCAACAACTGCTGCCTTAACTCCTTCGAAGAGCAGATATGTATTTTATATTGATGGCAGCATTATATTTAATTATTTTTAATCTTTTAGTTTCAATGGAAAGAAAAAAGATTTCTCATGCAGACTTGAAATGCAAAGCCTTTCCAGTTTATGAAATAGCTTTAATAGCACTGCTCCGAAATTAAGCACGTCTTTCTTTTAATCAGATGAGTTACTAAGAGGTATTAAATAACTAGACCCACGCAAAATTCACAAGCATTAAAAATTGGGTAATTTTAGAATTCGGAATTTCTGAGAAATCTTCATCTGTATTCCTGCTGCTTATACATATTACTTCTTCGTTTAGTTATTAATTACAACCAACCAATCTGTTCACAGTTTAACTTAGAGTGCTTCACATGTTTACTTCAAAACTCACAAGCCAGCTAAGCGACACATAAGATAATTTAATTATTTAATTAATTCTTAAATTTTATAGTGGTAGTATTAGAATATATTGGTCACACACGAATTCCTGGCGCAGTGTCTGAAATTTAGAAAACGCGTTCAAGCAGTTTAACCAGTCAAATCATGTTGCGGGTACAGTTTTACTATTTTATAAAACTTATTTACTATCCAATTACTATCTAATTAAAGAAAATTATTTTATTGGGATGGAAACTGAATACAGCTTTTTGTCTGACTATCAGTAATCATTTCATTTCTAATACCAATTTATAAATCTAATCTCTAGAATATTGTTAATACATTTCTGATTATTTTGCCTACCAAGTTAACAATTCGAAGTTCATTATACTTAATTTCGATGCTTTTCACGTCAAGAAAATTAAAAGAAAACAGAATTTCATAAAACGTATATTTTTATTAAATAATATATAATAATACAGTAATTTTAATTGAAGTAACTAATTTGAAAATCTACTATGCTCAAATTATAATTGAAATAAATGAGTTATTAAGCAAAATCTAGGAAATAATTGATTTAAGTAATATTTTATCTGAGCTTGCAACATTGGTAGATAAGCTTAAGTATAAACCGTAATTTTGCTAATTTAATCTACTTATTTCATAATGATTTTAATAAGTAATAGATTTAAAAATTTTATGAGACATACTTATGTTATCCATACTTAATTATCCATCTAATTCCACATATATGTTACATTAACTCTACGTTGACAAAGCGTGCCAGTGATACTGGTTGTACGTAATAGTTCCTATAATTGAACAGTATGTTTTTAAAAAAATTGCACTTCATTAATACTCGAATATTCATTTAAAATACATGCATTTAACTAAAGCGCTCTTACATATCACCCTAAGAAGTACGCTGGTATTCAAAATTAAGAGAATTTGCATATTTCGGCGATTTTTTCGAAACGTGCTGAACAAAAAATACAAATTATGCGTCCAAACAAAATATTCATTTTTAGAGTGAACTCGTGTATGTGGGTTGAGTATTTAGGGGAAAGGTTTGTTAAAAGCATACGGGAATTTCCTACTATCCATTCTTTCGTACCCCTCGGCAACTTTCGTAATGTTTTTTCGCCATACTTCGGAAATCCAAAAGCACACAGTTTTTTTAAATGAGTAACTATCAATGTTTGGATGATGGAATGAAGTGGAGAATCGTTGTGCAGGACTAAAATCAGGGTATTCTCAGATGCAGTTTACTAGAGACTTAAATGTAACGCCCAACCTCAAAAGCAACTTATGGAAACAGAGTAAGAATATCAGATCCTTAGACACAAAACCTGTTCAGGGTTGTCCAAGTGTACGATGGCCACCGAAGATCAATATTTGTCCCTTTTTTTCAACGAGACGTAAAGGAGTAAAATAGTTTCTTAACTTTTTCGTGACCTCCATGAGGTGACCAGAAACCAAGTTTCAAGGATTACTGTTTCAAGAAAGCTACATGAGAGAGGTCTGGTTTCTTGACGTGCTATTTGTATTCTGCGCATGAAAAGGCCCGTTCAACATGTTGCAGAAACATTGGTTTTGAACCAAGCATCAATAAGGGATCGCTGTCTTCATAGATAATTTCCAATTTCAACTTCTAACTACTGATTTTCAACATGCCTTTATTCTTGAGAGAACAAGGAACACCCGTTCTTTAACAACCAAGAAAGGGACCATTAAGGCAGCGGTGGTTTGATGATCTGGGAAGACATTATGTTGAATAGGCACACAAGCCTTTATACCTTTACTCTATGACTGCTACAAGGTATAGGAAAAGAGATCAGAGCTCTATAATCTCCTTTTCAGGGGTTCGGTTTTGTCTCAGTACATTTTTATAAACAACTCTCCCCCACATACAGCTTATTTGGTGGGTTATTATCTGAAAAGTTAGGATATTAACATGTTGGATTAGCCAGACAAAACTCTAGGCCAACAGATTGTTCACAACTCTAGGCCAACTACAGGTCTGTTGCCAACAGACTGTTCCCATACTGAGCTAACAGTTGGAAGCAACTGGCTCACACTCTGTGATGGAGAAGAATCGACGGCGCTCATCAAGTGTTTACCGTACGTAAAAATGGCGACAATTTTCTCTGTATACACTCATTCTTGCAATATGGACTCTGTCCACACACAGAAAACGTTGTTCTTGATTTTCTGTGCGAGATAGTTAACGTACGT